GGTTCATTTGTGTCTGTCAATACCTGTTCAGGTCTCAGGGGCATCCTGATCAAGGAGAACACATCCTATGGCATTGAGCCCATACTCTCTTCCAAACAGTTCGAACATGCGTTATACACCATGGCACGTCAAGCTCGAGTCTCCTGTAGTGTCTCTGCCAGAGACAGTCAAGCGGTGTCCACCAGCTGGCAGCAGGGGAGCAGGAAGCCTCCCAATCTACAGGCCCTGTCCTACTTGTGGTCACACACCAAGTATGTGGAGATGTTTGTTGTGGTCAACAACCAGCGGTTCCAGATGTGGGGCAGCGATGTCAAGGAGACAGTGCAGAGAGTGGTGGGCATCGTTGCTCTGGCCAACACCTTTACTCGAGGAATAAACACAGAGGTGGTGCTGGCTGGGATGGAAATTTGGACCGAGGGGGATCTGACAGAGGTCCCAGTGGACCTGCGAGTTACACTCAGGAACTTCAATCGCTGGAGACAAGAGGAGCTCTTCCCTCGTGTGAGGCACGATGTCGCCCACTTGATCGTTGGGCATCCTCCTGGCGAGACCTCGGGTCGGGCATTTCTCAACGGAGCCTGTTCAAGTGGTTTTGCAGCGGCTGTCGAAGTTTTCCATCACGAAGATGCCCTCCTGTCTGCAGCGCTCATGGCCCACCAGCTTGGGCACAACCTGGGCATTCAGCATGACCACTCAGACTGCGTTTGTAGAGATAAGCACTTCTGCCTCATGCAGGAAAACATCACTAAAGAAAGTGGCTTTAGCAACTGTAGCTCTGACTACTTCTACCATTTCCTTCACGAACACAGAGGGGCCTGCCTATTTAACAAGCCGTGGCACACAGGCCGCAGGCGTAGGGATGCCAGTTGTGGGGATGGTGTGGTGGAGGCTCCGGAGCAGTGTGACTGTGCTCCTGACTGTACATGCTGTGATGATGAATGTAATATGGCAGCCCCGGGCCAGTTGTGCCGTGGTGCTATGGGACCATGTGACCTCCCTGAGTACTGTACTGGCAGTTCTGCAACATGCCCTGCAGATAGACATAAGCAAGATGGCACACCGTGCCATGAGGATAACTACTGTGTGAGTGCTAAATGCACGGACCCTACTATTCAATGCGAAATCGCTTTTGGGTCTGGTTCAAAAGCTGCCTCAGAAAGTTGTTACACTAAACTGAACGTCGAAGGGAATCTATTTGGAAACTGTGGCCAGTCTGGTTCCACCTATGTTAGCTGTACAGATAATAATGCAAAGTGTGGGAAACTCATATGTACAGGTATTACTTCATTGCCTTCAATAAAATATGCATTGGCTCAGGTCCCACACGAAAATGACTGGTGCTGGGTCATGGGTAGCTCTTCAGGTGATACCTCCATGGAAGCAACTGTGTCAAAGGGCACTCCTTGTGCTCCAAGCAAATTCTGTGTGAACTTTGAGTGTACTGATTTCCAAGTTGGGACTTTAAACTGCAGTGCAACTGACACATGTAATGAGAAGGGAGTTTGCAATGATTATGGGAACTGCCACTGTGAAGATGGTTTTGCTCCCCCTGATTGCATATCAGAAGGAAATGGAGGTAGTATAGACAGTGGTCCTCCTACTAAGCCAACTGATGACCTTGAGAATGAAGCAAAGAAAAAATCAAATTTATCATTACTTATCCTCATAATTTTGGGAATACTAGTATTACTTGTAATTATTTTTCTTCTCGCCTCTCGTAAACCTGCTGAACCAGAAGAAGCTCCTCCACCAAAGGCTCCACCAGAAGAAGAAGAAGCTCCCCCAGAAGAGGCTCCACCAGAAGAAGAAGCTCCCCCAGAAGAGGCTCCACCAGAAGAAGAAGCTCCCCCAGAAGAGGGGGAAGCAGAGGAAGAGGAGGAGGAGGCGGAGGCGGAGGCGGTGGCGGAAGAAGAGGAAGAGGAGGATGATTAGAGGATAAGTGTGAAAGGGCAAAGCCAAACACATCTAACTCCTCAACTGCTGACTAGGAATGAGAAACTCAGGGAAGCAAAAGTTAAGTGGGAATTGATGGCTCCAATGGCCCTGTAGTCTAAAAATATACTATTATGCGAGGAGATATTCCTCCATATTTATTACTCATTTTAGTAAATAAGTTCTTGTTTACTTAATATATTAAATATTTTAGTACTTTTTCTTTTTCATATTTCATTTAAACTCATCACATGCATTTTTGGACATTAATGTCTTTATGTCTTCGGGCCTATTTTTTTCAGTCACCAGAAACTATTTCTCAGGACATGCTATCTTCTGCGTAAATTGTCTGACATGTAGTAGTATTTGTTCTTGAATTTATTACTATCTATGGGGTTTTCATCTCTTATGGCAAAAATCTATTTTGTAAGGACAACTGTTCATGTGACTGATTGTTCTAACTTGGCCTATTAAGTGTGCATTCCTTGAGAGAGGAGTTTTAAAATCCGAAAATAAAACTGTATTCAAGTTAGACATGCTTTCAGTTTCTCTGTAGGGTGTAATTATTGAGTCCATTTTGTTTTGTAGCCATGTAGGAGGTGTGCATCTGATAAGGAATAGGATCCTAACTGATCCTGGGTTGAGGAGCCAGCCTTGAAGGCATCCACCTTTCCAAATCTTATAGATATGTAACATATACATTCCATTTACTACTTCCCAGTATTTCAAGGTGCTTTCTATAGCTATATTCCATCTTACCTAAAACAGCTTTTCTTCCACAGAAGCTTTCATAGCCCTTCTTTTTGCTACTTGTCTACTGATGAATTTGATGCCTCCCATATGTCATGGCCAATGAATGTCATCTAGAGTTAAGTAATTGGGTCTATACTAATTTTATAATAGTTTAGGGTGCCTACCAGAGTACTGAATGCATGAATGAAATTTAAAGTTTATTTAAATTAATAACTTGTTGACGGACACTCAGAAGGAACTTTTCCAGTACAAGTAACAAAGTTCTAGAGGTGGCAGTTACTTCTCAGGGAAGAGGGCACGAGACAAATATAATATTAACATTATTTATTTGGTGTTGGCATTGTGTTAACCATTTTCAGGGCTGGGGAATACAGCTTGGAGTAGAGCTCTTGCCTACCATAACTGAAGCTTGGATTTGACATTCACTGCTACAAAAAACAAAACTTCTCAATTTCCCAATGAAACTTCCATCTTGTACATAAGGAAACAAAGAGTAGGTTCTCAAGATAGACAATAAGTCATATAAACCAGCATCCCTCCCCAAGTATGACCGAAGTTATGAGCTCCCTTCCTCTTGAGACTTTTCCATCAGTGAAAATGGGAAGACATTTGATATGGCTTTAATTGCCTAGAACAGTGGTAGCAAACTTATCGTAGTGGGTTATTGTGTTTTTAAGACAAAAGATGTTAATGTCGAGTTGTTTTTTCTAAACTCAAACCTCAGTCTTCAAATTTAATTGCAATGTTGGCACTTTGTGGCAAATAAGTGGGTTTGGGGTTGCAGTTTGGTACTCGTTCTCCATGGTTTGCCATCATTGGCCTAGACCATGGATTCTTAGTGACCACTGAAACAGACAAGCCTTACAAGTGCACATGACCTCTTTCAAGAACCTACTGCACTGTGCAATCATTTTGGATATAGTGTCTTTCTCCCTACTAAAGCTGATAGCATGGAGTGGCAATTTGGTATCATCATTTGGTTCTGTGGGTCCAGCTTACTGTAGATGCTCAATAAATGCTGATTAAGGGAATGAATTAATCAAAGCAAACTTTGAAAAACTGGGCAAGTTAGATATGGTGCCATGTGCTTTGTTACTCAGGAGGCTGAGGCAGCAGGATGATGAGCTCACGATTTCTAGGTCAGTCTGAGGAAGACAGTAATATAGTGAGACCCTGCCTGAAAAAAAATAACGGGACAATATCTGTGCTCTGGGAAGGAGCTTCTTGCTAGTACATAGACAGTGTGTGACTAAAATCTTTCTTGGATGCAATATTGCTGATTTTATAAACCATGAAGTTGTAAAATTTTATAAAACCCCAAACCTCAGTCAAAGAATGCTGAAGCCTACTTGGATAGACTATGGCTGGGAGGAATACTTATGTTCCAGTAATGTTTGTAAATTCCTGGGACCCAGCCAGGTGCAGTCCCACAGCCCTGATGGTGACTTCTTGCCACCCTGTCCCTACTTTCTTCTCTGGAATACTTTTGTCCTTTCTCTGCCTCAGGACAGTGATGATGAACGGACTTCTCTAAGTTGCCCAAAGCACCCCCATATCCAGGCTGTAGATGTTTCTCCAGATTTGAAGGTAACAAAGGAAAATTGTAGTGTGGAAAATCTTCAGATGCTGCAGGTATTAATGTTCCTAAAATCTAGAGGTCATGCCCCACACCCCCTTATCAGCCATCTCTTCTTGGCACCAATGTGACATTTTCTTTTATTCCACTGAGTGTTTTGGGGAATGTTTCTGTAGGCTAGAGTCAAACCATACTCCTTGTCTGGGGCTCAGTTAAAGGAAAAATAAGGTTTCCCTTAAATCCAGATCACAGAGTAACCTCATATGGATGCAATTCTGCACACAATGAGAACTGTTACATTTACTTGAAAAAAGTTTATCTTCTTGTTTTTCCAAACTTTTTTTTTGTTCTGGGGATTGAACCAGGGGTCTTTACACTGAGATACACATCTCAGCTCATTTTTTTATTTTTAAAGACAGCATCTCACTAAGTTGCCCAGGCGGCCAGGAGTCAAATTCTTGATTCTCTTGCCTCCTTTTCTCAGAATGCTAGGATGACAGGTATGTATTGCCACACTCAATCAAACTTCATCTTTTTTTCTTTTTTCTTTTCCTTTTTTTTGGTACTGGAACTTGAGCTCCGGACCTTGCACTTGCCAGGCAGGCGCTTATGCCACTGACCTATATCCCCAGCCCCTCAAACTTCATCTTAAATAGAATTTTGCCATTACAGTTGAGTAGGGGGAAGGGTACAAAAGTCTCACTGAAGCTTTTTTTTTTAAGGAAATAAAGGTAGTCTTCCTCCAATGAAAAAGTGAAATAGTAAACAACTATGAAATAAGTTTTCATCCTCCTTCTAGATATAAACCTTTTAAAAGATTTTAAAATCACACCTTCAGGTTGAGGCAGGAGGATTGTTGCAAGTTCAAGACCAGCCTGGGCTACAAAGAGAGCTCAAGTCCATCCTGAACTGCATAGCAAGACCCTGTTTCAAAAAGACAAAAATCAATCAATCAATCATACCTTCATTATATATGCAATACATCTCCAAGAGTTTATTCTATAATTGAGAGAGGAATCTTTGTCCCTTGCCCATAATATGCTCCATCACTTAACGTCTTGTTATAGAAACTCCATTTCCAGAGGTTTCTGGGGAGAGAAGGAACCTAATACTTTGGTTTTCCCCTTACCTATTAGATAGTTCTGGGTCTTTGAAATCTGTGGACATAATGAAATACCATTGTAGACATTTCAAAGGCTTATTAGTTTTTGTTTAATCAGAAATGGACATAAATTTTACATTTATTTGTGGAGAGTCTTGCAGAAAGGTAAACCTCAAATACTATTTTTTACTAGAATGGTTAGTACAAGATTTATACAGTTTGACTCAAATTTTGCTGATCTGTCTTCCACATGGACAAAGTAACATGCAAGCTTTAGTTCACGGTAATGTTGATCACTGAGAAAGGAGGATTTTGATGTGAGAAAACTTGATTTAGGGACCTAGTGTTTGCTGAAGGGGGTCCAGGTAAATACAGGGGAACATGAATGGCTGGAAGTTAACCTCTCCTGGTGGACCATAACCTATGGAGTCTTGATTTAGATTTTAATCTCTACTCATTTTTTTTTAAGCTGGCTGAGTTTAGATAAATCATTTTTACTCCATCAGCACCAGTTTTGAATCATAAAATTAGATAAGTTATAAATACCTTGCAGGATTATTGTGAAGATTACTAATAAATAAAATTATCCAGAACAAAATAAATATTCAATAAATATCTGCCCTAGTTACCACTGTTTTTTGTTTTGTTTTGTTTTGTTTCTGGTACTGGGAATCGAATTCATGACCTTGCGCTTGCAGGGCAGGCGCTGTGCCGCTGAGCTAAATCCCCAGCCCTGACCATTGTTTTGTTACATAGCCCACATTATTAACCAATTAAGCCATTATTAGGAAGTTATATTGCCTGCTTCTTTAACATGTTCTTAATCTCTACAAATTCCTAATCAGGGTTTACCTCCAAAATAAGGACCTAGTTATGATTTATAAAGATGCTCATCTATATTTAATTGGATCAAACTGTCTTCTTCCAACACTTATCTTCTTAAATGCTATATAAAAAGGAAACTTGTCAGGAAGTCATACAAGAAACAGGATCTAGTAGAGCAGGTAGAAGAAGAATCTTCAGAGAAGGGAAGTAAAGTGCTGAGTTAGCCTCAGAAGATACAGGTTTGTCTAGGGCTTGGTGACCAAAAGGTAATGACTGAATTCCTAATCTCAGCTCTGCATGCCTAATCATCCCTTAGATGTCATGGACAGATATTTTCAAGTGTCTTTTCTTACTAAAAACACAACTGTTATGAGGATGAACAGCAATATCTCTATTTTTAGATCTGAGACTCTGAAAAGAGAGGGTTTTTCTTTTTTGGACAATGACATGTACATGCTAGTAAGCAGTAGAGTCAGAATTGGAATTTTAGGTCATCTGATATCAGTCAGTTTTCTTTCTGGTATTAACTGCTAGAACCAGTTAGTATCTACTTGTGAGAGCAGATTGTGTCGTATCTTACCAACTCTGTGTTTACTGACGCCACACTGGTAGCTGAAAATTGGTCATAGTGGTGGGTGTGTTTATGCAACAGAAATAGGCAAATAATATAAATTCGGGCATTAAAAAAAAGGAGACTACCACTTGTCAAACACTTATCAGCAAATAACTACAATTACTTCTGGTATTACAAAGAAATTATAAGACATCTTTCCTCTACCCAAAGAATTTACAATCTGTCTTTGAAAGCATAATAAAATTATATAAATCCTTTGAAAGCATAATAAAATTATATAAATCTACTTAGTGGTGGTATGTTTCAGACTAACTTTGAAGTTCAAACAGTAACAGAACAATGTAAGTTCTGTATTGTCATAAGACCAAATAATAGCCAATTTATTACATATATAACATAAATCCAAGAGATGTGATCTACTCTGGACCAACTGATGATTAAAATTGAGAAAACCATGGTTAAAATAAGTAATTTATTTTCACTGTGACTTGCTATTAAGAAATAAGTCTGACTTCAGTTCATCTGTCTATTTCTGCATTATTCATTTAAATATTTACATTCAAGAAATATTTACATCTTAGGAACTAGGAAGTTGCAAAAGATAAAAAGCACAGCTTCTAGATGTGGAAAAAATGGAAGTCACATACACTGTTGGTGAGAATGCAATGTAGTGCAGCTACTTTGGGATGTTTGGTAGTTTCTCAAGGT